TTTTTTTTTTTTTTTTTTTTTAACCACTGTGAGTCCATTTAACGCCCCAGGTTTCATTTTATTTACCTCACGGTTAAGGCTTTTCGGGCAGTACCCCAGAAGACTGGAACTAGTAGTAAAATATTTCCCGTGGACCTTTGGTGCATGCTTTCAAGATGGCGGCTAAACAAGTTGCAGAGACTGCGGGGAAAGCGGTGTTTAAACCGCTTCTCTCAACAAGCCACGTAGAAGCAAGGCGAAGAGTTTTGAACCTTTATCGAGCTTGGTGGAGAGAGGTAATAATTTTGTATTGAGTTTGCCTTTCAAGGCACTGTTTGTAGCATGAACGTCTTGAACGCGAATGATCACAAAATGGAGTGTTATCAATGGTGTCACTTATGGTACCACCAAATGATCAGAGATGTATTTCGGTGGCTAAGGAATAATTGTGAAATAGATAGGTTTAGGAGCACAAGAAGGCGTTTATGAAGGTTCCACACCAGTTGTAGATTTTCCGATCGATGTTTTATAACTTCAAATATTGTTCAAAGTGCAAACCTGCCTCTTAAATATATGACCTGATATCAGCTGATATCAAAGGCCATTGCGGCGTTACAAATTTCGTAGTTTGATATTATTGAGAGTCATTTAGCTTATCAAGGCCGAGCATAGCGGCTGTAACACGCTCACTAGTTATGTTGTTTGTAGCAGTAGCCCTTTCAAAATTAATTTATCTTGATCCAATACTGTCTGCAAATCTTATGGGTTGGCATTCTAATTTTTTTTACTCAGGAACACGAAAAGCAGCTTTAGTAGGATCTATCACAGTAGCAGATTTCTTGTGGCTGTATTTCAAGTATATACAAACACAAGCTAAAACTATGGTTTTCATTTGTGCAATTATAGCATGATGCCTTTGTTTACTCTATTGTACTTCATGCATGCACTTTCCATGTATGCATATGCATAGAGTTTTTTCGCATGGCATGGCTTGCTCATTTCAACATACTGAAGAAGGGTTAAGCTTGAAATGTCCAGTTTACGATAACTATTTGACACTTTCAAGAGCTTTTTTATCCTTGCACATTTTAAAATCACACCCATTGAGAAGAAATGCCCAGGAAACGGGGAAAGTTCTTCCTTGGCATCCATCCAAACAATGCAGACATAATGAGAGCAATTAGTGTTGGTTGAAAGTGTTGAAATTCACATTTCATCTTTTAAGCCCCCTTGAATAGTTATATCAACAAAGTGTGAAGTAAAGTAAATAGGCTTACATCCATTTCTTTGCAACTGACAGCAACCTGGGTAGTAAAAATACCGTAAGCAAAGTATATTTATACCTTATAATTGTATTTTTGTGTAAGTTTGATTACCACACCTTGGAATTAAGACACCTCTTCACTTACTTTTGGTTGGCTCAATTTTATTGATCAATTTGCTAAGACATTAAATATTGAAATGTGATCTGACATGTCTTTGCTTACAAGCATTAGGGCCAATCCGACTGTGGTGAAAGTTGTCAAATTCATTCAAATCTAGTTTCACAACACGTGAGAGAAACAATGGAGATGCTAAATCTATACCGTTAAGAGCTTGACTAATGACTGAAAAGATAAACACAATTTTGTTTATTTAAAGACGGTCGCATGAAAATTTTCCCGTCGATAGATTTTTTTTTCAATTTTTACTACAGTCAGGCAAAGCGTTACTTGTGTCAGAAATGCCAAAAAATTGAGGGTCAGCGACTTTGTTTCAGAGATAAAGTGTGTGGAAAACTACCCTGATTTTGAAAAATTGGTGGACCAAAGTCAGCATGGTCTACAGGGGTTTATAGTTAAAAATATCGAAGGTGAGTCAACAGAGGCAAACGATATTAGTCATATTTTGTAGAGGTGGGTCTGTTACGGAAATAATTCCAAATGTTGCCAACGTTTTCACAAAACTTAACCCTTGAAGAGGCATTTGAAACCGCAACACAGATAAACAGAGGGCTAAAAAGAATGGAATTCCATGGTGCATTTTGCAAAAAATTCAAACTACTAATCAATAAATTTTCATTTCTTTTTTCATTTTTTTAATATAAAGCATTATATCTGACTTAGGCCTGTTGTAAAACATTATGCATGGCAAGATATATGTATTTTGTTCTCATTGTCTTCACTTTCTTAGGTTCCACATGCCATAGAGGTATTTGCTCTGGAAATCACTACCAAAACTGGTCGTGCAAAGGTGCGAGAGGAATTTATGAAAAATGCTCATGTCCGAGACATCAGGGTGATTGATATGTTGGTCATCAAGGTGGGTTTGTTTAAGGCTTCTGTACTTTAGCACTCTTTGTATTGTACACTCATCTGCCTGAGGAACTTGTGTTTGGCTAGTTACAATGTGGCTGCGACAAAAGTAACATTTAAACAGGGGTTTCTTTTACATTTTAGCAGTAAGACAATTGGTTTTCACAGGCAGGGAAAACTTTTAGAACTGAGCCTCTTTACCAAAAAACCTCCAAATGGTTGAACCAGGGGCGCAAAATTGGCCTCAGAGCCAGTCAGTTTGCCAGTGCCCAGCCCTGAAGGAAACCCCTGCATTTAAAGACATTGGTAAACTACATGTATTTCAAATGCTGTAAAAAGTGTGTGCATCTTTCTTTTTAAAATGTGTTGAACAGAACATGAATGATTAATAGCATTCTGTAAAATAAGAACCTTGGTACTTAGCCCCCCTAAAACTGCCAGGATCTATCTCCCAAAAGATCCTTTGCACATCCCTAACCTGTCCCATTCTGGGATGAATGTTCGTGTGTGCTGTCAGTTGCCTGATCTTTTATTTTCAACTTTAAAAGTGCATGTCAGGCTTTGCCAGAATTTGAAAATATTGCTACCTTGGGAAATGTCTCTTTCTGATATGCTTCATTTTTTGTTCTAAATTAGTTGACATATTTGATGCTCTTACTAAATTAAGAGTGGAAATGTATGGACAATAGCATATCTCCTGTCTAATGCTCAAAGGTTAACTGACAAGTGAAACACTGAGCTACGTATCCAACTGAAGTTGATTAGATTTAGATTAGATGTTGAAGTGAGTCAGTGGAGCTGTTATTTCAAGCATTAGCCCTTGTCACAGTTTGCTCAGATGAAGGGTTAAATCACTAATGTTTGAAATCCACCCCCCTCCCACCACCGCCACCACCCAAGCAGGGGCACAATATGAGATTTACAGTATTCCAAAGGAACATGAATGTTCATCACTTACTATGATCTTGGGAGCAAAATCCATGGCTATGATTTTTATAATGACTCAAACCCCAAGTTTTCTTTGACTGACTGACTGACTGACTGACTGATTGACTGAGTGACTGAGTGACTGAGTGACTGACTGACTGAGTGAGTGAGTGAGTGACTGACTGACTGACTGACTGAGAGACTGGCTGGCTGGCTGGCTGGCTGACTGACTGACTGATGTATGGACGGACAGATGGATGAATGGATTGATTGCTTGTTTGATTGATTGATTGATTGATTGATTGATTGATCAATCCATTAACTGGTATGTTCTTTTTTTTCTCAGGGTAAAATGGAGCTTGAAGAAACACATAATTTGTGGAAGCAGCCAACACATGTCATGCGATACTTTAAGGAAACTGAAAAACCCAGGAAAACAGAGTTTCTGGCAAAATTCTATGATGGATATGACTAATATTGATTTCTGTGTTGGATGTTTAAAAGGAACAAAGATTTCCTTCTTAAAATTGGAATGATCAGTTCTATTTTGAGTGAATTTCTGTGTTTTTTGTCTCTGGTCTGTGAGGATGTTTTTAACCCAGAAACAAGCTGTCAAGTAAATGTAAATAAGATCTGTTTATCATTACACTAGAATGAAATCTTTTCTCTGACTTGTTATTGAATAGATCTGCAAAATTGTTGATATCTAAGCATGCTCGCCTTGCTTTGCATCATCCAGTATAATTTTTTAAATTTTATCGTTATTAAACAAAAAGTTATCCAGCACAAGCTACAACTGTGAGTGCATAAGTAGACTAGTGCCCCCAAAAAATTCATCATATTTATCAGGCAATTTCTGGCAAATGGTGGAAGGACAAACAAATCATGTAATTAGTTGCTGATAGCTAGAGAACTAAAATTATGAGATTTAATGCATTGCCCAATAAGGTGCATATGAAAATAAATATGTCTCAGGAATGGGCTGATAAAGTTTTTCTGAGGTAGCCTGCAAAATGCAGACGTATTTCCGGCTGTTGCTTGTCTTATATGTTCAGTGGAGACAAACAATAGCTGGAAATACGTCTGCGATCACAGGCTATGAAGGTTAATCCAGATATTTATCATGAGGGCATTTTGCAGATCTGGTAATGAAATGAACAGTTTTTGAAGACCAGACTTCTTTCAAAGGAACTTTTGCCAATTAACTTCAGATAGATGGGAAAGCGTCTAGGGGTAGGGAGAGTTAATTTTCTCTCACCCGTTCCCAACACGCTTGTTGCTCTACACCCCCCTGCCCATCCCCTACAAGAAAACTACTGTTTCGTCCAGAAAGCGACGCCATCTTTGTTATGCATTGGAGAGGTAAGCCTAAGTTTATTTCTTTTTTTGTCTAAATTAAGTGATTTTTACATCGCACTTCTTTTCTCTTTTGATTGTGTTAGACTAAATAATATTCAGAACAAACTAAGATTTGCTTTTTCGAAATTGCGGTTAGTAATTTTATGCGTTTGCATTCAAAACTGTTCAAGGAAGCCGCTACCTTGACGACGTGCTAACGAAGAGCTTTTCTTTCCGAATTACTTCTGGTGAATGCGCTTTTTGTATGCATTCATCTAAGCAAAGGATTAAAAGGAAATGTCTAATTGAAACATGAATATTAATAGTGTTGGGCATTGTTCTTTTTATGCATAATTTGGTTGCGAAGCAAGGTCGAGGAAGTTAGTTGTCATTAACAAATTAAACGCGCCATTTCGAATCACATCTTAAAAACGCTCCCCTCGAACGGGAATAAAGTTGTGCGAACGAATGCGCAGTGGACGTTTATTTGCTCAACTCTGTGTGCGGAGAAAGATCGAGGAAACAAGGAATAAATCAGAAAACCGTGAGTAATTTTATATTATTCAATTATTGATGCTTCAACAGAACAGTTTATTTCAAGATCACAAGTTATAGAACCGAGCTTGACACAATCAGATATTACATGTAAGCATTAATATTTATCGAAAACATTCGAGAGCAGATCAATAAAACATTCAAATTTGTTCGATACAAACCTTGCCTTAGACGTTCCAAAAACTGTAGTCAATGTTGTCTGCTTATTCTAATACTGTGTTGTTATACACGCTAACACACGCTAAAATTATGGACTAGATTGTCAGATAATGCCAATACACATATATACACGCGTACGCATGGTATAAGCTTAACTTCATCAATATTTTGTTGAATGTTATTTGCAAAGGAAATGTATGCTTGAGCACAAGGAGACAAGCTTATATTTAATCATAATTTCATTATTTAAAATGTAGTCTAAGTACATTGTACCTGCAGTATTGTTATCACAATATAATACTGTGTTAGTATCTTTGCCCATGATAGTGTAGAAATATATGTCAAAATTTTTAGATTAAGTTCTGTATGGATTTACATTTGTTTACATTTTGAAGAGTTATTATTTTACTCTTGAAATCTTTGAAATTTTGACTGTATTCTTGAAACATTTAAGTTTTCTTCCAGCTTTTTGGCTTCAAGCAATTGCTTTTATACAAAAGATTGCACCAATATTTTTTTCTCGTGCAAATCACAAATTTAATAGCAATTTAAGAAGTCTAACTCTTCAATCGAGAATCGACTGAGGTTGTGAGTGCAGACGGAACGCAGTGAGGTCTGTACACCGAGGTGAAGATTCTCCCATATATGGCACAAACAGGAACAACTTAATTCGTTTTAATGCGACTAGTTTGTAGTAACTGACATTTTGCTTGCGAACGGCGATGAACTGAACTTAATTCTGCCAAAGTTTGCTCGCCCTCTTTACATTTTTTCTTATCAGGCTTTTTGGCACTTCCATAAATAAATATTGGTAGAAGAAAATACTCAATATTTTTGCACTTTAGTTTGCAACTTTTTCACTACAAAACATCATCGGTCTAGATGCCGGTCTAGATGGAAAAATCTAGACCACTTTCAATCTCGTTCAGCCAGTCAAACTTGTGAATTCAGTAGTTCCCAGTCCTTGTGAGACGCAGCCATATAATAATAATTTTTTTGCCATGTTTAGTTATCAAATTATAGGACCCTTATCCAAAATAGCATGGATGAAACTAGACATTACTACAATGAACCAGCTGACTGAGCCTTGCAGGACTGTTGATGAGCTGTCTATTGGAGATCTGGAGAGTGACTATGATGATGATGACCGGCGTGATTTGATCAGTCACTATGCAACTGACAAATACCTCAGTAAATGGGAACTGGATGAAGAAGATGACGAGGTGGAACAGCAAGAAAAGTTGGATAATGAACTGCCAAGTAGGGAATCAGAGTAAGTCTTTCAGACAGAAAATGGATCATCCATGCTGTAGATATTTAAACCATAATATACATAAATGGCAACCATGGTCAAATGCTGTGAACAGAGTCTATTTTACTCTAAGTTCTTGGCCCCCCTTTTCTTGGTAACAAGGATAGACTCGGAAGAAGAAGGAAATTATCTTAGTAGTTGCCATCAACAAGGGCAACTGGAAAAAGTCAATTATGATTATATGTTTTCCAATTAAAAACTGTTTATTTTCTACACATGGCTATAAATTTATCAAATTTCAATGAACTTATTTGATGTCATCATATGCATTTATGCAGGGCCCCACTGAAGAGCACTTTATGTGGAGTGGGCTCCCTGTTTGAATATTTTAATTATTATTATTATTATAATTATTATTATTATTATTGACAATGAAGTTATTATTGTTATTACTTTATTATTTGAGACCATGAACACAGAGTGTTTTACTGATAAGGTTGTATGGCCATAGACAGGGATTTTAGACTACTTTAATCTTTGCCATTTTTATTTCCAGGGAAAAACACCCTGGCAAGAGAAAAATCATTCGCCATTTGGTGGCAACCCTTGACTGTGACGACATGTCACTGGTGTCATACAACAGCGTCAGGGACTGTAACCCATCTGCCACACCGAAGACAGAGCCATCACCACCAGACCATTACCAACTAGGACTCCTGCCTCAGGCTACGGGTGAAGACTTAAAGGTACATGATTATACACCAGGATTAAATCTTTACATGTATTTTCCACATGAATTAATTGTGTACACCAACATTCGATACATGAATGTTCCTCGTTCTTAAAACGTGACAGCAAACTTGAGTCAATTTGTCTGAAGTACTTCACAATTCGACTCGATTTGCTATTTGCAGGGAGTAGATATGAACCTCGTGAAACTAAGACTCGTAAGCAATAATGATACATGAACCATCCTTATTCTTTAAAACGTGACAACAAACATGATTCAATTCATCTGAGGTGTTGTTTTGCTACCTTAGTTATAAGTCTTTCCACAGGGTCACCCCCTTGTGTTCAGGCTTTTTTTAAATCCCCTGCAGTTAACACTCAGTTTCGTTGATCATGAAGACAAAATAGAGGGTCTGTGGACAGACTACACCAACATTAAGGTTACCGTAAACCTTCGGGGATGTCCTTAGCGAAAAAAATATTACCGCGCTGTCTTAAAGACAACCACTACAAATTATATATCAATACAAAGGTTATAGAATGCTCTATTCGATAAAAATTGTTTTGCCTCAATTTTTTTAATCATAAGGCGAGCGCAACCTAAAAGCACGAAACGACCGACGTTCCANATGATTAAAAAAATTGAGGCAAAACAATTTTTATCGAATAGAGCATTCTATAACCTTTGTATTGATATATAATTTGTAGTGGTTGTCTTTAAGACAGCGCAGTAATATTTTTGTTCGCTAAGGACACCCGCGAAGGTTTACGGTAACCTTAAAAGATGCAATATTGTTTGTGTGGTGTGATGAACCAAGTGAAAGTAGTCTTAATAACTAAATGACAGATTTCCCTGCCCTTTCATACACCTAAACTTATATACCTGAAGCCTGAAAAGAGGTACCCCTTTTGGGCAGAGCCTCCCCATATAGGCCATTATTGGGAGTACCCCCTGGGACAATCAACACCACCACCATAAGCCCCTACTAGCAAAACTTCAGAAAGGACAGAGCCCCAACCTGATTTGCTTACAAGGTACAAGGTCTCCCTTTGTAATTTAAACTTAAAGAATTCCACATCGAAAAAAATACAACAACTAGTCCCAAAAGCTATAGTATTTACAGTGATAAAAACACGGCTAAAGTTCGGGAGGAATGACCTGTGTTCACCACACAGGCTAGATTTTAAACCCCATTATGTGCAGACAATCATCAAAACATGTTCAGCTTTGTATGTTTACCAAGATTCTGTCTTGTTGGTATTTCTCTGCAGATTTGGCAAGGGTATGGAGGCAACATATACTTTGATGCTGTTCGATGTAAGTCAATGCGAATCAACAGTTCCAAGTCAGGGAAGTCCAGAAAAGAGGGTGTTACCAAAAGATGGAAATCCAAGTCTTGTAATCCTTTGAACAGGAGAGATGAACGCCAATCCCATTTGTCGAGTGTATCCAGCTCACCCAAGGAAATATCTGAGGCTTCAATTCACAGTCTGGGCAGCCTGCGAATGCGGTCTGCATGCAAGGATAAAAAATGTAAGACAGCCACGTGCAGACATAATGAATCGCCTAAACAACTTCCAGGAAAGATCTGTAAGGGTTTCAGTGAGAAAATGCTAAAAGAAACGTTTCAGCGTCTTCAGGAGAATGGTGACTACAGATTCACTAAAGAGCCTTTAGCAGTATCCGGAGGGCAAGTGGTAGATTCATTCATTGATCCCATCGACAAAGTGCGACATTTTAACACTCAGTGCAAGGGAAGAGACTTCACTTTGAATTTGCAAAATGGCTTTCCTACGCTGCTGACAGCCGACAGTTCATTCTTTTCGCATGGTGACTACAGAACCTCAGCTGCTGTTACTGTCACTGGTAACACTGATCCTTTTATTAAGCTTCCTGTTCTTGGGAGATCTGACGCGAAGCACAAGACAAGCAAGGCTGGCAAGGAAATTTCAGGTGAAAATAGCAAGCAAGAGCCTAGGCCAGTGTTTATAATTCCATTTGGTGCATTTGATGATCCTGTGGATGGTGAATCTGATTCCAAAAGAAAGGCTGAGAAGAAAGAGAAACCATCGACTAAAAGCCCTGAAGATGGAATCAAGACAACAACGAGCACCACGAAAGACGCTGATAAACCACCAGAAGAACTCCAAAACAACTCTGGCGTAAAAGATGATGGTTTAGAAAACGTTTTGAAAGAAGAAGACAGTGAACGTTGCGTAACACATCCATCAGATGAAAAGGGTCGTGAAAAGTCCCCAGGTAGTTGTTCCACAGTGCGACAAGGCCTTCCTGATTTTCATTTAAAGAGAGAAATCAGTAACCTCTCTCTTAGTAATTACCTGAGGGCAGTCCCCACACGAGGAGCAAAGGAACAACCCAGTCTGACCTCTCCCAGGTCATCAGCTGTGGTGCCAAAGATGAGCTATACCAACAGATCAAGGGCCCTACCAACATTTTACATGGTGAACAATTCTGTACATCAAGGACATCAGTCGGGCTGCAACCCTCAAAGATTGAGTGGGTCTCATGTCTACGGTGGGTATTTCCCGACGACTGGCTCAAAAGAATCCAAATTATTTTACGCGGAAATAAGCTCCATTTCAGAGCAAAACACTTTGAATGGTGATGACACTTTTCGAGAATTATCAAGAACCTCAAGAAGCTCCAACCCTAAGAAAGCTTATTCAAACAAACAGATTCCCAAGCAGAGCTTTGTCAAGGCGAGTTACGTGTCAAGGAAGTCATTTTCACGGCAGAGTGTCATTCGATCTCCAAGGGCCGGTAATGATGCACTAAGAAACTCTGACAAGAACCTTCTTCATGTCCCAGTGACTGGTCAACAATTTTCTACGTTAAATGGAATTCATGATAGATGATAATTATTATTATCATTATTATTATTATTATTATTATTATTATAGAATGTTTTGAACATCATCTTTTTTTTCATGTTAAAGAAGTCTAGTATTACATGTAATAGGCGAATCTTTGCTGACTTCATTGTTAACATTTTTCGCCATTAACATACGACTTTGCGCATAGAAGACATCATGCTAGACACGATTTTACTAGAAAAACTGAAAGAGCTTGTGAAACTTAGTAAGTGGTGAAAGTTTTGGCTCTTTGGGTGTAATATTCAAGGAGAAATTGGCTTTCAAAAACATCAAGATTTCTGTGTGACAAAAGCGCTAATGAGCTCGT